AGAAGAAGAAGAAGAAGAAGAAGAAGAAGAAGAAGAAGAAGGAGAAGAAGAAGAAGAAGAAGAAGGAGAAGGAGAAGGAGAAGGAGAAGGAGAAGGAGATTTAAGAAGACCCATAACAAATTCTGAGAAAGAGGAATCTACTTTAGTATTACCTGTTCTAAAGTATGTGTACGCTATTTCCATGAAAGTAAGACCAAATGCCAGACTACTTAGGTGATTGGCATCTATGCACAAATATGATTTTACAGTAATTCTGGTGGCTTTAGAATGGCAAGCTAATGTCTTCTGCTGCAAAGCACCATGTTATTATGCTTATCTATGTAAATGTATATGTAAAAGCGTATGCACGTATAAATTTCCATCTATAAATAAGAATTTATCTTGAAAATAAAATTTAAAAAGAAAACCACCCAAGCAGACATTTCCTACTCTCAGGAGTGAGGGTGGACAGATTTCCTAAGTGAAACAATGCCGTTAAGGGTCTGCTTTTACTCTTTCAGCTTTTGTCTTTCTAATGACCCGGTTCCTGTTGGGATCTGTTTACAAGACTCTGGAAGCCAATCGCATCATTCCGGTTCCACACTGGGTAAGAAAAACCGTACAAACCACGCACTTACGACAGACACACCTGTGCAAATCTGATGGCTGTAGGTGACTCACGCCCGTCATCCCAGCCACTCAGGAGACCGAGATCTGTGGATCACGGTTCGAAGCCAGCCCGGGCAGGAAAGTCCTTGAGACTCTTATCTCCAATTAATCACAGAAAAAGCCGGAAGTGGCGCTGTGGCTCAAGTGGTAGAGCACTGGACAGTGCCCAGGCCCTGAGTTCAAGTCCCAAGACCTGAAAGAAAAAAAAAATCCAATTACCACCTTTGCTACTAGGCACATAAGACAGTTTATGTCCCTTCTCTCTCCTTGATATTTATGTGCGCATTTATGAAGTTGTTTTTGATAAAGAGTTATATAAAGGGTTTCAATGGAATGGTGTCCGTTTATGAGAATAATAGCGATCTACGCAGCTTTATACATTTTTTAAAATTGTCTTCAAGTTGTGGCACAAAGGGTTTGCACTGCTTTTGGGGGGTAATTAGAGATAAGCATCTCAAGGATTTTCCTATTCAGGCTGGCTTTGAACCTGGATCCTCAGCTGTCAGCCTCTTGACGAGCCGGGATTATAGGGGTGAGCCACGGCTCTGGTATTGGTGTGGTGAGCCTGTAAGCTACTTGTGTTAAGGAGTTACGTTGTCGGAATCTCCCCCTGCTTCGGCATTTAGTGGATCTGCGTGTGCATGTGTGCAAATGCGTGTGTTCACCGCTTAGATCTGCCTTCCACATGTGAGAGAAAACGTGTGTCCTTTATCTCTCTGAGTGTGGATGACTTCACATCATTGTTGTTGTTGTTTTTTTTAAGTCCATCAAAATGTATGAAATCTGTGCCCATGAAAATAGAGCACATGGTCTTTTGCAGTCAGATGACAGCTCGCTTTATAATGATAATTTTTCACACTCATTGTGAGCGGAATGTCTGGCCACTGGCAGATGATAATTCTTTTTATTTTTGCATTGTCTTAAGGAGACATATTTTTCTCCACGTTGTAAAAGCATTTTTTCCTCCACTGCAAAAAAAAAAAAAACTGGTTTATAAAACATTTGTTACTACTTTTGTTTTTCCTTATTGTCATGAAAGAAATATTTTCGGGTCACTGTAGGTCAGCCACACATTTTAGAAGAATTTCCACGGCTCATTAAGTTATTCCGGGGTATGTCTCACTTACAAAATGCCGTTTTGCCGAAGATAAATATCTCCTAATTTGCTGGCAGGGAAAAACATATTCGTGGATCTCTCTCTGTGGGATTTGTGGGATTCTTGTTCATCACGGCACCAAAGTTACACTCTTGGCCGGGTACTGGTGGCTCCCGCCTGTCATCCCAGCTACTCAGGATGCTGAGATCTGAGGATCGAGGTTCAAAGCCAGCCTGGGGCAGGAAAGTCTGTGAGACTCTTATCTCCAGTAAACCACCAGAAAACCAGAAGCTAAGGGATTGTGCTGAGGTCCTGAGTTCAAGCCCTGGTAATCACACACACACACACACACACACACACACACACACACACACACACGTACACTCTTGAGGGAGGGACTGCAATTTTAACCACAGCCTGGACTTGAAAGTCGTTTTCTGCTACTTTAGATGTTCAGTTAATCACCTGTTAACAAACACGTTGCAAGCAGGAACTTTCTGCTTTTCTGAAGAAGATTGTCCCTATCAGAAAAAGGAAATCTCTTCCTTTTGATACTAAATGAATGAATGAATGAATGATAATTACCGAGAAGTAGTCACCTTGCAGTGATCTAGGGTTTCAAATTTTTCCCAACAATTTTCTCTCGATTATTTTTTTACCGGGGTTTGGACTGCAGAGTTACCTTGCACTTATTTAGCTTTGTTGTGAGTGGGTACACTACCGCATGAGCCACACCTCCTGTTTGGGTTTTTGCTGATCAGTGGACAGTGGAGTTTGGTGGACAATTTTCTTCTTCCCCTGCACTGTTTTCCAACCTTGATTCTCTGGCTCTCAGCCACCCGAGTAGCTAGGGTGACCAGTGTGCATCTCCAGCCCCGAGCCCTCCTGAGAATGGTTTGAAGGTTGCATGATACACGTGTATGTGTGAAATAGGTAGAATCCCAAATAACCCGGGGCCTGGTGCAGGCGGGAGAGCACCAACCAAGCAGGGACGAGGCCTCCACATCGCCAAGTTAAAATAAAACACCTTAAATAATAGGATGAAAATATTTACAAATGACCAGCCTTACTTCACAGGAGAAAGGATTTCAGAGAAGGCTAAGGAATGATTTCATTGCTAACAAAGCTCAGATCAGTCACAGTGAACGATCACCAACCTAACGCTGCTGCTGACGGTTTACAAATTAAAATGCCAGTGCAAATGAAAGGAAAAAGTGGATGCTAACTAGAACCTTTACATCTAGTCGAGAAGGTGGGCCAAATTGCGCTATATCTCATTCATGTATACTATTTATATGCTTGTTTATTAAGTGTATGCTTTTTGTACATGATTTATATATAAGATAGTCTCTAAATATATATATATAAATATGTTATACATATATTAAATATATTATGTATCATATATTTATGTAAATATATTATGTATTATTTGTGAAATAGATATTCTATAACTAATATATTTATATAAATATTTATTTTATACATTTTAAATATAAATGATATATTTATAGAACTCATATATGGATAAATATTTAATTTATATGCATATAATATATAATATATTATATATGTAATATATATGCATCATGTAATAGTATAATATAATGTATGTTATGAATAATATATAACACTGCCTGTTATATAGTAACAGGTGCTAACATCTTAATTTGGAAGATAGCAGTAGGTAAGAATCAAAGGAATTGAGGAATACGATTCTAATAGAAACGAGAATCAATGGAAACAGGAAGTCAAGCCTCAAGTACGGTCTAACGAGCAGAGAGGAATAAGGAATGGAACTCTGGATCCAGGCAACTGCGGGCTGGACACAGAACATTTGTCTCACTCTTCAGGAAGTGGTGTTTTTCCTTCTTCGATAAGAGCCTTCAATATTTTCAAGGCATTCTGCGCGAAATTAAAGCGACTGAGTTTTTGTATTTCTCTGAGATGACTTCTGTCGAGCCACAGCTGGGCAGAGATCGACCCAAACTTCCTACGTGTTTATCTTTTCCCTTTGGCTGCCTCTTTCATCCAGGGTTTTGGAACATACCAAGTGGATCCTCTGACGGTTATGTTCAGGAGGAGGAAAGGAATATTACTTGGGAAAGAACATGTCTGCTCCAGGCAGGTAGCTGAAAGTTTCACTCATCCAGCTGTTGAGATTCCGCTGGTCAAGACCTGTCCACATGACTCTGCCCAGCTGTGGGAGAAGCTTCCAGAACCAACCGGAAGGAACTCACTTAGGAAGAAGGCAAATATTTACCTGAAGGCATTCATTTTTTATCTCATTTGTCTTGGGCAGAATGTGATGTCCGGGGATCTCACAGCTGCAGAGGGAGCATGGCTGGATGATCTGGGTCACACACTGGGTCACCCAGCCAGGAAAACAGCTTTCCTCGATCATTTTGAGGGCCTGTGAAATGATGTGGGATGTGGTAGGAAATGAAACAAGGCGGAATCTGAACAGGACAGGATGGAGCTCTGAGTTTGCGTATACACAAACACAGGGAGCGTGCAGTAATCTAATCCATTCCTCCACGCATCTGAGTGTGTGTGTGTGTGTGTGTGCGTGTGTGTGTGTGTGTGTGTGTGTGTGTGTGTGTGTGTAGCCTGAGGCTTGAACTCAGGGCCTGGGCACTGTCCCTGAGCTTTTCTGTTCAAGACTTAGTGCTCTATCACTTGAGCCACAGCGCCACTTCCCAGCTTTCTGGGAGTAATCGGAGCTCAGAGTCTCCCAGGTTTTTCTGCTCAGGCTGGCTTCAAACTGCGATCCTCAGATCTCAGCCTCCTGAGTAGCTGGGATGACAGGTGTGAGCCACGGGTGCCTGGCAGGCGTAATTTTATGGATGCATTTCATTTTTGCAATATGTGTGATTTGATATTGAAATCTGAAAAGCATGAGAAGTTTGAGGGAAGTTGCTTAGTACTTGGGTTCATCACGATAGTATATGTCGGTTTATTCAAAGGAGACCCTGCACGCAGAGTCATAGAACTACTTAAAAAGCAACCTCCTGCTGACATGGACGGCTGGCGGCCTGTTTGGGGTTAGGCAAGTTTGCAATGTCATGGTAAGGCTGAGTGACATGAGACAGGGCACAAGAAGGCTGCCAGGGCTCCTGCCCTTGCATTGGCTTAGGACCAGACTTGACCGATAGCTTCTTCTAGACTCTACCTCTTGAGATAGCTTGGGCTTGTACACAAGAGATCTGAGGACTACCTTTGTAGCTTAAGAATGCTTTATTTCTTTCATATATGTAATATTAAATATTAATCAATTAATTATTAATTAATTAAATATTAATTAATATGTAATGTTAAAGGAGGAAGTATTTAAGCCGGGTGAAGAAAATCACCACGAGATTGGACACCATGAGAAATGGTTGGTAGAAGGAGGATTGAGTCTTTTTTCCTTTTCTTTCCTTTCCTTTATTTTCCATTTCCATTTCCTTTTCCTTTTCCCTCTGCTTTCCATCATTCCTTCCTTCTTTCCTATCTTCCTTTTTCTTTCTCACTTTCTTCCTTTCTTTTCTGTCTTTTCCTTCCTTCCTTCCTTCCTTTCTTCCTTTCTTCCTTCCTTCCTTCCTTGCATGCTTGCTTTCTCTTCCTTTCTTCCTTCCTTCCTTCCTACCTTCCTTCTTTCCTTCCTCCTTCCTTCCTTCCTTCCTTCTTCCTTCCCTCCCTCCTTCCCTCCTTCATTCCTTTCTTCCTTCTCCTTCCTCCCTTCCTTCTTTCCTTCCTCCTTCCTTCCTTCCTTCCTTCCTTGCATGCTTGCTTTCTCTTCCTTCTTCCTTCCTTCCTTATTTCTTTTTCTTTTTTCCTTTCTTTTGTTATCTCTTGGGCTT